TTTGTCACAGTCCTCTTCCTGATACACACTTTGCTGCATCTCCTTTATCCACCTGGAATGACCAGGTTGCCATGACTGTTCCTCCAGGTGGACTCCAGTGAACTGCAGAACAGCCTCACAAACCTCTCCATCATTGTCCGAGGAGAAAGTGTGTCTAGGCCTCTGAATGTGGCTCAAGCTGCCGACGGCAGGGACGCCTTTGTGAAGGTACTGGTGCTTACAGCTTCCATGTTTGAAGACTGAGGATGCTTTCAGAGCTGTCTGTCTTCCTGGCTGAGCAGTCTGACGTGACAGTCACCCGGAGGGCTCCTGGCCCTTGTGGTTCTCAGGCACAGTTTGACAGCAGCACAATAACAAGCTATGTCAGAAGACTCTAATGGTGGGCTCTAATTCCTCTTGCGTTTTTTTCTCAGGGGATATATGGACGGATTTTCCTGTGGATAGTGAACAAGATCAACTCAGCCATATTCAACCCAGCTTCTGAGAAGCATAAGGACAGACGCCAGTCCATTGGGCTGCTGGACATTTTTGGGTTTGAAAACTTCAGCAACAACAGGTAGGAGACTACAGGAGAAGCCAAAAAGTAGCTGATGTAAAGGGAAAGAATGAAAAAATTAGGCAGACACATGCCTTTTCATCATCATGCTGATTCTCAGAAAAGCACTGAAATTTCCATTACTGGATTTTCCCAATGCATAGATTCCATTTTTCTTCAGTCTTGGTCATATTTCTGCCTCCTCCCCCACCTTCATTTTGGTGCATTCATTACACATCTATTCCAAAACCTCAGGAATTTTCTCAGAGGAGGTGGCTATGAAGCTGCTATGAGCAAACAGCCACTATGTGAGGATGTAGAATGTCCCTGTGTCTCTGTACCAAACTTTCCTCTTCCATAGCATTTTACAATGTCTCTTGGGATACATTTGGCATACAGTACAAAGGAGACCATTTCAGCTCATGCTTACATATTCCTCTGTGTTCTTCCATCCTTTTTTTTTTGGCTGCTTCATTTCTCCACTCTTAAGGACAGGACAGCATGGTCAGTATATCATTGTACCACTGCTGCCTCTTCCACTGGTGGTTCCAGTCCCAGAGCACCATTTCTGTTTGCCATTCTCTCTGGGGGCAGCAGCTCTCTTAGTTACTATACCATCAGTCCTCCACAAACCATCAGCACGCTCTGCAGTCTTTTCCAATCCATTTCAACTGATGCCTCTTGCCTTCAACAAGATAGTATTCCTCACTGATTTCTGGAGCAGGATCTAGGATCTCTTTGGTCCATCTTCTCTCTTTTGTGTTCTCTCCTGTTATTTTATGCTGTTCTCAGAGGCTGCAGTCCACATGGGGCCTCACTGTGGTGAGCACTCCACAGGTACACACAGTGTGCCACTGCAGTTACCAGGTAACCACACTCAGGTGCAGCATAAAGGAGTAACTAACAAAAGAATTGGCAGTGCCAGTGTGAGCAGAAACACGTCACTGATGCAGTCAAGCGATTTTCACAGTTAGACATTCCCCTTTGTCTCTGGAGTTTCTTGAAACACATAAGAGATCTTTCCTTGCCTACTCAGCAGCACTCAATCATCAGCTGGCTCATTGCTGCTGATCTTTAGCACAGCAGAAAATGCCTCTCTTGTATTGCTAAGATTGGCAACATGCAGTGGTGGTGTCACCAGCACTGTGGAGTTTAGCAGTAGTATATCTGGATATGTATTTGATACAGAGAATAACCAAATAACAGAGAGCACTGCAGCACTGGCCAAGGATGACCATGGGCTCTCCTCTTGTTCTTCCCCAGCTTTGAGCAGCTCTGCATTAACATTGCAAATGAGCACCTTCAGCAGTTCTTCGTGCAACACGTCTTCAAGCTGGAGCAGGAGGAATACCTTGCAGAGCACATTGCCTGGAACAACATCGACTTCACCGACAACCGCCAGGCTCTGGAAGTCATTGCACTCAAGCCCATGAACATCATCTCCCTCATTGATGAAGAGAGCAGGTTCCCAAAGGTAAATCTCTGGTTTCACTCGTAATGCCTGGCTTTGCACACAGCTCACAGGTAGCACTTGGTTTTACAGATACAAAAGTGTAAAGGTGGCTTTTGGACACATAAGGAGAGGCAATGTGTTCTCCCCATAGATGTTTCTTTTAAATTACCTCACTATACAACTGCTTCACTCTCTGTTGGAATTCACTCTCCCTGGTACCCAGCTGTTGAAACTCTTACGGCTGTTCCAGACAAAGAAGGAAGGAGTCCAGATCATTTTACATGGGCTTCTTAGGAAATCTTTGAAGTTGTTTATTGTTTGAGTATTGTTCTGCTCTTGGTCTGGACTGCAGCTTGCTCTTTCTTCTCCTGATTGACAAACCTAACTGAGGAATGTCACCACTGTGAGGAACTGAAAGGGAACTACAGGTCTGTCAGCCTGACCTTGGTGCTGGGGAAGGTCATGAATAGATCACTTTGAGCACCATCACAGAGCACATACAAGGTGATCAGGCCCAGTCAGCATGGGTCCTGTTTGTTTGACTAACCTGATCTCCTTCTGTGACAAGGTGACCTGCTTAGTGGACGAGGGAGAGACTGTGGTTGTTGTCTACCACAATCCTGTGATTCTGTGAAAGGTTATTCTGTGAAGACCAGGCATCTCAAACAGAAGAGCAGAGATGAAAGTGGCATCTGATCTCAGACATCCCTGCAAAGAATTTTCAGCCTCCAGAGCACAGTGAGGCTAAGCAGGATTGCTAGTGCAGGAATCAGATGACAATCGGGTTGCCCAGAAAATTGAGCCCCTACCTCAGCTCATCTGTGTCCTTTGGGTAACGGTTTGAGAGGATCACCTACAGGCAAACAGCTTTCCCCTTTCTTCCCTAAGAAGAGGGTGGTCCCACAGTCAGGACGAGAAGGCACCTCTTCTATGGCTCCCAGAGCACATGAATTCTGAGAGCACAGCCCTCACTGCCCTCACCAGAAGGGCCAGTGCACACAGTGCACAGTGTGAGTGCCTCACATGCACCATGAGGGGATGAGATTGTGATGGCACCCCTCGAAGAGAAGCACCCAGCCAACTGCCTTGCCTTTGGAACTCACCATCTGGGCATGCTGATTGGTATCTGCTTGGGGATTCTTCCAGGGATCTCTGGGGAGTGAAAGAACTGTGAGAAAGTGCCTGCCCAGGAGAAGGAGCACGCACCCCTTAGAGCGTCCTGGGTAGGATGGCATGAGAATGTTGGGGGGGATGGCTCTGCTTGTGAGGTCCAAAGATCTGAGGAATTCTCAGTGCACCTTGTGATGTTAGTAATGTTATGGGGGCCTGTGTACAGCCCTAGAACACCAGGCCTTGGGCTCTGATGGTGTGTTCTGTCATGGTGCTTGAGAGAGAGGTCTGTGTAAAAGGGAAGATACTTTTGGCACTACCTTCCTCCAGATCTACTACACAAATAAGGGCAGAATTTGAGCTTTTGCTACCTCTGATCATCACTTCTGTTTATTTGCTGAGCACAGGCCAGTGCTGAGGACAATCTGGTAACTATCTGGTTTTGCCTGTATTTGTTTCTAGGGCACAGATGCCACCATGCTTGTTAAAATCAATTCCCTCCATGGCAAAAGTAAAGTCTATATCCCACCTAAGAGTGTTCATGACACCAAGTTTGGCATCCATCACTTTGCTGGGGTTGTCTTTTATGAATCAAAAGGTGAGTCTTTCTCTGCTGGATACAGAGGGTGAAGAGTAGTGTTGATCCGAAGCTGGCCAGGAAGATTACTCTAAATCTATCTGCAAGTTACTGTAAATGAGTTGGATTTTAGGCAGACAGAGTGGTGCTAGAGCTAGCAGGCTGCAGATGTGATAATTTTGTTTCCATCCTATAGATTTCCTGGAGAAAAATCGTGACACACTGAGTGCTAATGTAATGCAAGTGGTCCATTCCTCCAAAAACAAATTCCTGAGAGAGATTTTCCAGGTGGAAATGACCCCACCTACTCTGGGACGTGGGACCATCCGGCACCTTGGAGCTGACCAGGTCTACAAGGTTGGCTTACTGGCACTGACTTATAGAAACAATTCATTTCTCTTCCCTTCCTCTAGCTGTTCTTGACCTCCTCTTTTTTTTTCTTTCTTTTATTTTCTTTGCAAATTCCTATCCCTTTCATTTACCTTGTTTCTGCAAAGGAAGCTGCAGGAAAGTCGGGGTGTGGTGTTTGTGCTGTAAACAAGTGCACTGTCAGCCCCATCGCCCGGGTTTGCGTCCCTGGACACCTGTGCAGCCACGCCTGCAGGCTGCCCCACATCCCTGAGGCATGGTACCTCCCCCATGTGCTGTCATCAGCTGGAGGGGTTTGGTCTACACGTGCCTGGGCATCCACCCAGCATCCCCATTGCTTGGAGGGGTGTAAATTATGTGAGGGTTCAAAACCTTCATTGGAATGGACGAGGCACCAACCAGAGACCCCTCAGCAAAGCCAGCACAGCAGTGAAGCTGCTGCCACGCTGCACAGGCAGCCAGTCTGCTGGGACCAGAACTCCAAGGGGTCTCACTGGGCAGTGGGTCCTGGCCTACCCATTCTTACAGAGGGCTGACAGGGAGCACAGCAGAGCAAAGAGCTGTGCTGTCACAGAAAGATACTCTGTCATCTCGTCCCAGTGACACCTGTAGAGACAGTCTCACTGCCCTGCATACTGCTGCGAGTTTAGCTCTCCCTCCTTGCCCAGAGGCTTTATGACAAAGTCCATGATGGCTCATTGTCAGGCTCATCTGTGCCTGGTGGTGGAGGGAGCCTTGTCTGTGCCCAGCGAAAATGAGGGTGTAAAGTGCAGCAGACTGGAAACAGCGCTGGGGCAGAGTTCAGCTTCTTTGCCCTGCTTCAACTTTCACATACTGTGATTTCTGAGCATTTAACAATGTAGTGTCATCAGTGTGTAAAGGTACTTTTGCTTTTACTGTTTACATCTTTGAGTTTTCCTGTTGGGACACAGAACCATCAGCTTGCTACCTTACCTCTTATCTTCTATTCTCCTGGCATTGTTTTCTGATCCTGTTCTTTCTTCCTCTGTCTTTGTCCCAGTGTGGCTTTCTGCTGTCCAGATCACCTGGCCATGGACAGGTAAACATCCTGGGGGCAAAGAACATCAGAAGTGGTACAAGCAGCAACAGAGAACTGGCTTAGCATCTCTTAAATGCTATGAATAGCTTCAGGTTAAATATCAGGTCTATCTGCATTGCTCTAATGGCTTTTGTTCCTATAAATAAGGCCGTGTTACTGAAAAAAGAGCACAGCAGCATGTCAAGAAAGGAGATACTAAATGTGGGCTATCCATTTCAAAATGCACAGAAATCAGCTGAAATACCCCTATTAATTTTCAAATAATTAATAGGTGGGGCTACCATTGGGAAGCTTAAGAAGCAGGCTACAGAAAAGAATAATGAACTAAGGGCCAGAAAACACTTTTTTGTCTTGAGGTCCCACAGTTCCTCTCCTGACACACCAGGGCAGAAAAGTCACCATTAAATCAAAAGTCAACAACAAATTCAGCTTTAACAGAGTTTTACATATGTGAGATCATGAGGGCATGGGCTCCAGCCTTTTGTGGCCTTGCCACTGCAGGTACAGCAGAAAGGCCTCTGAGGTCTGGGAGTGAAAGCTTTTAACTCTTACACAGCTTAAATATGTATATGCTGTTATCATTACCTACTTCAGATGCTTGTTAGCCCCAAGAGGCATCTGGGCTGTGACAAGACATTCCCAGGAGCTGTTTGCCAAAGACAAGTCTTTGATCACTGGAGGGCAGCCTTGCCCTGTAACTAAAGCAGAGGGTGGCAAGTTGAGTGTTCAAAAGGGCACTTCAGATGTAAGAACAGAGCAGAATGAAGTACTGGAAAGACCATGGAAGTGAGAGGAGCACTAGACTTTAAATTATTTACTTGGAAAAAAATAAAAAAAAACACCACAACCCACTTACCCACCCCCCCATCCCCTAAAATGAGCAAACCAGCTGTGTTGTGCTGCAACAATCAGCTCCATGCCTGTATGGAAAAGGCCACTGGAGTCCTTCTGTTACTTGGAATCCGTACTGGTGTCACTGCAATTTCATAGAACATACTGAGAGAAGGAAGCTTAAGCCTAATGTGATGATTTGTGTGGAACTGTGCTGTCAGAGAAGCTGGGGAGGTCTGGAGTGGCTCTCAGCCTCCAGTAAAGGTTTGCCTTCTCACTGCTTACTGTAGTATTAATGGGCAAGGTGATCAGTCATCCTGATCCCTAAGAAATAGGCTGTTCTGGATCTTTAGCATTCTTATCTATGATGACAGCAAAATGTCTGGCCTGGAGGTTATTACTGCTTTGGGAGTGGCTGTTCCTCACAAGGCTTTCAGGCACACTCCCAGGAATCACACTGTGTAGGGCACCCAGGTTCTACACTAAACACAGCCTTGGTTAGAAGAGACAGGTGTATGCGGGCTCCTGTAGGTAGAATTTCTTCTACCACAGCCTAGTTCATTGCTAGAACTTAGTGCCCAAGTAGGTGAAAGCACTTAATGGGGTGTCTTTGCAAGAATAAACCAAAATTAAAAAGGTGAAAATGTCCAATTTAATTACCATGTAGGTAAAAAAAATAATAAAAAAAATAAATTTCCATGTAGTTGTGTGATACTGCTATGCTGTACAGAAATACCAAGTTTTATTAATTGGCCTCTGACAGTGAATGATGTAGCAGTCAGCACATGCTTACTCTTCCCAGGGCTTGGATACCACCAAGCGTCTCTCTACTCTGGGAGGACAGTTCAAGCAATCCCTGGAAAAACTAATGAAAATCCTGGAGCAGTGCCAGCCGTACTTCATCCGCTGCATCAAGCCTAATGACTACAAGAAACCACTGGTAATGTTGTAACAATATGAGCTCTTGTCTTCAGTAAGGTTTTTAATCGGAAAAAGAGCTGTCAGCTGCTGTGGAGCACTTCAGAGCTGTACTTGGCTGCAGCAAAAAGAGCTGGAGTACAGGCTATTCCTTCAATTAAGACAGTAGGAAGATATAGCATTGTTAATGTACAAAAGCATCTCAAAAAATACATCCCACAGTAATGGATGGCAAAAAAAGCACATACATGTGTTTCTGAGCAGAGTTATAGATATATAGTTATCTTTTCTGTAAAGCAAAAGACAAAACTGGAGAGCTTGTAGCCCCTCAGGAAGGGGACAAAAAAAAGCATTAAGATCCCACCATGCTCATACTGTGAAAGAGCCTGGGAGAGAATAGGAGAGCTGTTGGAGTTTGTGAGAGGGGTGGTGTGGCTTAGTCTGACACTGCAGGAGCAGAGGAATCAGTTTGTCATTAAGACACTTGGCTGGAACTCGGGAGATCTTGATTTTTACACTAAAACTTCGTATGGTGTTGGTCAAGTGAATATTTTGGAAGCCCTGCATGTGGCTTAGTGAGCCTATCAGAAACAAGCAGCACACCTGCTATGCTTTGCATGGTGTGCCCAAAGGGCCTAAGCTGCTACTGCAGCTGCTCACGCCTGCAAAACGATACGAACAATTCACTGCTCATCTGGAATTGTGGTTCTAGAATTTGGAAATGGTTACTAAAGCCAGAGTGAAGTTAATGGACTGTTTCTTCTGCTCATATGCACAAACTTGAGGGCCCTCTGGGGTAACTTGTTTATGCCTGTAATGAATTAATTCTGTGCACTAAAGAAATATGAAGTACAATTAAAAAAAGCATAGTAGGCCATTTTGCAGGCCCTCTGAGGTTGAGGGTTAATAGATAGGTTCTGAGGGAGGCTGGATGTGTACCTTCTTACAGGGCTAAGTCTCCTCCTTGTGTGCTTTCCCCGTCAGTTGTTCGACCGGGAGCTGTGCATCAAACAGCTGCGATACTCGGGGATGATGGAGACCATCCAGATCAGGAAAGCCGGGTACCCAATTCGCTACACCTTTGAGGAGTTCTTTGAGAGATACAGGGTTCTCTTGCCATGGTCTCTTCGACAACAGGTGTGTAAGCAAAAACATGGTTTAAGGCTAATTTAACTTTTCCTTATGAGGCTTTAGTTTTTTCCATGGTAGGAAGTTCTTGGATTATTGCTGGCACAGTTGAGAGAGCTGTCATCACAGGAGCTGCCATCATGGCCACTGTCACCACAGTAATTACAGCTAAATACTTACATACTCACTTGGGCCTTAGCTGAAAATGCACAGCTGTTTTTAGGTCCAGCTGTCCTTGGCCTGCTCCATATAGACATCCTAGGCAGGATGAGCCTTCAGATGTTTCTTTTCTGTAATCACACACTTCTCAGGTCTCTGACATCTTCCTCACACTTGAACTCTGGAACGTTTGGCCATGCAGTCCTGTTCCTTCTTTTCCTGACCATTTGAGCGGAACCACTTTCATTCATTATTCTGTCAGCCCAGAGGTCAGCAAGACCTCCTCTGTTTCTGTTCTTCGCCCTTTGAAATGCAGGGCAGTAGATCCTTACATAGCACAGCTGCTGTGTTTCACTGCCAAGCCCTAACATCATCATGCTTTTGCACATCAGCTGAAGAATGACATTCGACAGAGCTGCATCAGCATCGCCGAGGCAGCGCTGGGCAAAGATGAGAGCTGGCAAGTTGGAAGGACCAAGATTTTCCTTAAAGTAAGTAAAAAAGGACAGTTTATGGTCTCTTCTCCTGAAAGACTGGATGCTTCACAGTACAGTTTGACCTGCTTGTGCAGCAGTGGTGACCTAGGAGGACTCAGCTGTCTTATAAACTCTCTTGAATATGAAGCTGGATCTTTGTTCCTGAAGGCCAGATAATTCAGTGGAGACAGTTTGGTGTAGGAGAGGCTGATCCTGTTCCTGAACAGTACAGTGCAATGTAGGACCATGAAAAAGAATGGGGTACTAGTACACTGCTGCAGGAAATCACCTTGCCTGTAGCATTCCCCCAGGTAAAACAGTCTTACTCCTTGTTTATAACAGACCAGGTGTGCTCACGTGGTGTGTACTCATCCTACTGAAGTCCCATGAATGCATTTTAATCACATTATGCTACGTCATGCTGATTTTGGGCCTCTTTCAGACCATGTGCCTAGTTTTCAGAGGCTGTGGGTGTGTCTGCTCACCTGGTATATCCACACTTTCTTTTAACAGGATCATCATGATACTGTGTTGGAGCTGCAACGCGAAAATATACTCACAGATAAGGTTCTTCTTATCCAGAAGGTGATGAGAGGATTGAAGGACAGGTCAGTGCTCTTGTAAAAGGGAAGTCACTTTGGTTTGAAGCAGTTAACTTTGTGGTGCAGCTGAACACACTCTGTGCAGCATTTCTAAGCATGAAATGTACCAATCTACACCTTCCACCAGCCCTAAATTCCATGCTCATCACTTAAGAATGCACAGTGTATCTGTGCAGATTTTGCACAAGAATTTGTTTTGGCTCTTTTTTTTTTATTTATTTTCACAATGCTTTTCAAAATGCAGGACTGTGGCACATGCAGCTTGTATGAAGAGGAAGGGTTGGAAGGAGGATTTGTTCTTAGTATTTCTAGTAAACAATAGACATCTGAAAAGCAGGAAATCCCTATGCAATCTGTGTCCTCCTCAGAACTACAAGAATTCTCTTATTTAGGATGCTTCTTTGATACAATACCTAGAAAAGAATCAGATAGAAATTAACTAGTTTCCTTCTCTTTGCCAAAGATGCATAATTCTTGCATTTTGTCTGGTTTTAGTTTGAAATAACTTATCCAACCTTGATGTATGGGGTTTTCAGTTCTTACAGAGCTCTCTGACCATAGCAATGAATTTGGTCTGCAGTTGTTGTGAGTATTTCTGCAGGAAACAAGGCTGAGATCAGACTGGAGAAATCCCAGGGAAAAAAGGGAAAAAAATGTCACCTTATTCTTTATTACTGTCATAAGAAGTAACAGAGATAACCTATTGTTTGTTACCTCACATGTCTATCTGCTTAGGAAGCAGTTCCTGAAGCAGAGAAAATCTGCTGTAGCCATTCAGTCAGCCTGGAGAGGCTACTGCTGCCGGAAGGACTTCAAAATGGTAAGATGAAGGTGTATATACATATATGTATATATATATATATATCTGTGTGTGTGTACATGTGTGTGTTTGTTTATCTACTATGCCCTGCCACACTGAGTAGACTTTTAGGAATGAAGATATTCCCAACTGAAGGGAGGAGATGCAAGGTGGCAGGGTATAAAGAAGGGTGTAAAGTCCAAGGAGGGCTCTGGGACCTCTCAGGGCTTGCTGAATTGTGCTTTCTGGTGAAATAGGAACCCTACTCCACTGCTTCTCTTGTGATTGCCATATCCATGGCTCCAAGGGTGTGACTTTGTTTGTCTGCTTGCTTCCATTCACTTGGCTTCATTTCTGCTCTGTCCCTTCCCTTGTCATAACCCCAGGCTATCACTGCTGCTCTCTGGAGCCATTCCCTGAACAGATCCCCCAAACAGCTCTACGTATCTAGTTTTAAAGTCGTATTATTGGCAGCAAATAAAGCCTAACAAGTACTATTACATCGGCTGCTTCCAGTGTCTTTATGCAGTTACTGAACTGTGTTGCCCTCTCCCCATCCCAGCTCACTGGCAGTCTCTCTGGTGTTGACGTGACTCCCTGTTTCTCCCATCCTCAGGCAATGCTGGGTTTCGGGCGCCTGCAGGCCCTGTACCGCAGCCGGCAGCTGGCTCAGCACTACGGGGCCACCCGGGCCCGTCTCATCAGGCTCCAAGCCCGGTGCCGGGGGTTCCTGGTGCGCCAGAAGCTGGCGGAGCAGAGGAAAGCCGCGTGTGTCATCCAGGCGTACGCGAGGGGCATGCTCGCTCGCCAGACCTACCGCAGGAGGAAGGGGGAGGTATGCTCGCAGATGCCTCGGGAACACCTTGCTTCTCTGAAATTCCAGTGCCATGAACAACAAGCATTGTCACAGCATAGCGCTAGGTGTGGATGTTCATTTGGGGGGATTTTATTTTGAGCTCTTGTCAAGCACAAAAGCACAGTGTTAGGCAGACTGATCTTGTTTACATTTGCTTTATGTGATCATTATCAGGGGTCAAAACTTCACTGACACAGCTGAAGGGGTTTTGACAGAAGGCAGGAGAAAAGATGTGTGCGTGTATCTCTCCTGCAAGGGGAGATCCATTTCTACAGCAAGACCTGCTAATGGCACTCAGGGCTCCATGAAGGGAACACTAATGCAGTGTGTCTCATGTGCTACCAGCCCTTGATGGTCCACAGCACGTGGGAGGCCTCTCCATGATTTCCTTTCTGTACGAATGCTGTACAAACAAGAAAAAGCCAATTTGCAGATTTGTGTGTCCCCTAAAATGCCCAATCTAGAACTGAGTCCCTGTTGGGAAAAAGTGCTGGTGTGGACAGCTTGTTAATGGCTGAAGGGACCTGGCTCAGCAGTTGTACAAATGGTCACAGAATGTTGTCCACAGAACAAGCTGGAAGCCAGGAATATTGACTTGGAAGAAGAGAAACATCTCATCCAAGTCCTTGGACCAGTGAAAGCAAGTGAAGAAGCTATGAGATTACAAAAGGTAGGTATGTTGGTGAAAGAACACTGAGTGCAGTGTTCCTTGGCTGACAAGAGAGCTTGCCCTTGCCTAGCCCAGACCTGCAGGCTTGTTCAAACATCTGAGCGCTGCTATATTTTAAGAAAGAGAAAACATAGTTGTAAACCTATTTGTAATAATGCTTTGAAAATGGGAGAAGCCACATACACATTTCTGACTGCAGCATAAGCTGGCACATTAGCCAAATATGCCCAACGCTATTACAACCCCCTGACACAAAACCTTTTTAAATTTTAAATATTGTGGGCTTTTCTGCTGCTAGAAATTCTGTGTTTTCCCTGTATTATCTCTTGTTGATAAAGTTCTTGAATAATTGCACATCATTATCAATAGGCCAACAGCCCATAAGGACAGCTGTAGGAGCAAGGCCCTGCTGCTGGTGTGCCAGGTCTTTGTGACTGCTTGGCACAAGCAACATTTGATTTCCCATTCCACTACTGCACTGGCAGGGCTGGACCTCACTGTCACACAGCTCTGTAATAGTGTTTCATCTTCACACTCCTTCCTTCCAACAAAATGATATTCAAGTCATGCCTAACCTATATCTGTGTTTATTTCTGCACCTGGCAACTCAGGAGAGAGAGGAGGCCGAAGCAAGACAAAGGAGCAACACACCGACAAATCATGACGTTATCAGTGACCAAGAAATGGTGGACAAAATTTTTGGATTTTTACCTTCTATGATTGGAGGCCAAGAAGGACAAGCTCCTCTGGGTTTTGAGGTACTGAGCTGCAGGCTGGTAATGGGTCACACTTATCCCTTGTGTAAGTCCATCGACTGCTGGAATTCCATCAGTGGTCAGTTCTGTTTAATGAACCTCTGTACAGTGAAAGAATCACCCAAATTAGTCATCCAGACAGTTACTGTGACATCAGAGGTCAGTTCCCAACAGTTTTTGGTCAAGTGCATTTTGAGGACTATGTAGCTTCTAACTGCAGATTTGTTTCTTAGGCACAGCCTGTTACACTCTGGATTTTAAGTCATAAGTTACCCAGAGTGGTTACAGTTTATTTTAAGACTTTTTAAAAGCCTTTTGGTTCATTATAACCTCTAATTAGCATCCGGAGAAAGAGTCATACACTCTTCTCTAAGAGAAATACTTTTAATTTAGTGAGAAAAATAAGATATTTTGGCAAAAGGAGTAAAATATAACCAAGAAAAAGCATTTCACTAAAACACTCAGTACAAAACCCCATTCCATAAAATCGATATACTAGCTGTAGTAAAACACAATTCACTGGTTTTAAGTTACCCACAAGAGAAGGAAAAGAGAAAAAGAAGAAAACAGATTAAAAGAGTAAAGAAAAAGAGACGAAAGAGAGAAGTAGAAAGGGGAAAGTGGTCACATGGTC